GCCTGCCTTTGCCTCCCGAGTGCTGGGATTAAAGGTGTGCACCACCACACCCAGCTTAATGCTATTTTTTAAAAAGATGAAACAAGGACTGGAGAGATGGCTCAGTGGTTAAGAGCACTGGCTACTCTTGCAGAGGACCTGGGTTTGATTCCCAGCACCCACATGGTAGCTAACAACTATTCATAACTCCAGCTCCAGGGGATCTGACATCACTCCTCTGACGTCTGTGGGCACTGCATGACACAAGTGCATTTACATACACGCAGGCAATACACTCATGCACAGAAGGTAAAAATAATAAAATATATATTTTTAAAAAGATGGAACAAAATGGCTGGGTGATGGATAGGTCAGCTTTCACATCTTATATAACTATAGTATTTGATTTTCAAAGTTAATCATCCTAAATCTACTAAACTCTAGACTTCGAGCAGAGTTCACTAATTTTTCCACTAATGCCCTTTATCTCTTGCATCTGGAATACATCACGAAATTTAGTCTTCCAATGTTTTTAGTTAGTCTTCTCTTTCCCTGGGACTGAGAAATAAGTAAAGCTGCAATACCTTTAAACAACTGTCACTCTATGGACAGGGAGAGGGGCAGGACTCAAGGGGAAGACAAATGGAGCTAGCATAGTTTTCCCAGTAGTTAACCTCCTTCTAAACACTTTATTTTTATTCAATGGAAAAAAACTAGGATAAAGGAGAGAGATATGTTTTGGTTTGGCTCTTACCCACTGCTCCATTATCGTGATTATTTCTCTCAGGGGTTTCAAATGTTCTGTCCTATTTTTGCATCTACTTTGAGGTGCAATTAAAGTTCCCACACTAAACTCAATGTTCCCAGATTCTCTCATGTTCTCTGAGCAGAGCCCAGGATCTGAAGAGGCTTTATCATGAATGGAAGCTCACAGCTCTGACATTCTTGTCTTCTTTTTCCATGCTCTCTTCTGTACACCCTCCAACATCCCCAGAGCTGTGGCATCCAGTCACCCGTGTGTGGACAACTTATCCTGTGCATGTCTGTTTGTTCCCCTTAAACAGCACATGCCTCATTCTACAGCCTCCAACCAAAGCCTAGTGAAAACTTACACATCCATGCTGGGGTTCTTTACAGCAAATAATGTCATAGTAAGCCAATATGTTAGTGCAACAAGGATTTGGAAGACTCCCATTATTGAGTTAAGGATGGTCCAGAGTGAATTTCAGGCACTTTGAGATCAAAATGCAGATGACTCAAATCAGCACTTTTCCAGCACTCTTCATATCTCAGTACACACGTATTATTATGGAATCCCAAGCTGGGGACCCTATGGTCACTGTGCGATACTGCAGAAGGCAGGTTCAAACAGTGACCGACAGACTTACTTCGATATAGATGTAGTGCTTGCTGTTCTCTATCACATGGATATAAGCAGTGTGGATGGACTCCTCATGGTACTTTATACCAGCAGACCAATCGGCAGCAGAGCGGAGCAGCTACAAGACAGCAATCAGCAATGAGCAAACATCAGACAACAGAGAAGACACCAAGTGGACTGGAGCAATGAAGCCCCCCCCCACCCACCTTGTTTCTTCTAAACCAATGACTACAGTGGCTCGAGTCACGTGTGATCCAAGAGGGGCACTGAAGGTTATTCTCCAGTCTACCCTCTTCCATCTGGCATTATTTTCATTCTAAACTTGAAGCCATAAGTTGTGGTTTGTACAAGTAATATTCTGAAGACTTATTCAGGTCACATTGCCATTGTACTATTGTCCTATGACAGTCCAATACCTGTGTCAGGTTAAAGATGCTGATGCAGGGCAGAGGGTAAATGAGTGCTGTGAAGCCCAGCACTAAGTAATGGCCCAGCACTAGTAAATGGCACTAAGGGTGCTGGTCACATTAGAGATGATGCAGGGCAGATCATAGCTGTGCAGGGCAGGGTGGACTGGGGGACACTGGAGGCTTCTCATGACTTTCACAAGATCAAGTATCCTTTGCCTGACATTCTTCCCAGAATTTTAACTGGTATTACAATATGACGTTTGCATATAGTAAGTGCTCAGAAAATATTTCTCCTTTTTTTAATGTGTATGAGTGTATTGCCTGCATGCATGTAAGTCCACCCCTGTTGTGCAATGCTTCCGTAAGCCAGACGAGGGGG